TCCTGGACAAAAGCCGCTCTGATGTGAAGAAGCAGATCAGATCCCAGCAGGAAACTGAAGTGAGTCGAGTCAAAGAGCTTCAGCAGAAGCTGGAGCAGGAGATCACTGAGCTGAAGAGGAAAGATCCTGGCCTGGAGCAGCTCTCACACATCGAGGATCCCATCCAGTTTCTACTCAACTACCCCTCAGTGTCAGCACTCAGTCAGTCTACACACTCATCCAGCATTGACATCCGTCCTCTGAGCTACTTTGAGGATGTGACAGCAGCTGTGTCAGAGGTCAGGGAGAAACTACAGGATGTTCTGAAAGAGACATGGACAAACATCTCACTGACACTGACTAAAGTGGATGTTTTACTGTCACCGGCAGAGCCCAAGACCAGAGATGAATTCTTAAGATATTCGCATAAAATCACACTGGATCCAAACACAGCAAACACACATCTGTTATTATCTGAGGGAAACAGAAAAGCAACAGTAATAAAAAAACAACGGTCTTATTCTAGTCACCCAGACAGATTCACTGAATGGTGGCAGGTCCTGAGTAGAGAGAGGCTGACTGGACGTTGTTATCTTGAGGTGGAGTGGACAGGGACAAGAGTTAGAGTAGCAGTTGCATATAAGGATATCAGCAGAACAGGGTGGAAGAATGAAAGTGGATTTGGATTCAATGACAAATCTTGGGCATTACGTTGTAACCCAAACAGTTATGAATTTTGGTACAACAACATCCCAACTCCCGTCTCAGGTCCTCGGCCCTCCAGACTTGGAGTGTACCTGGATCACAGAGCAGGTATTCTGTCCTTCTACAGAGTCTCTGAAACCATGACTCTCCTCCACAGAGTCCAGACCACATTCACTCAGCCCCTCTATGCTGGGCTTCGATTTTATTGTGGAGTCTACCGTTTTTCTTATGGAGACACAGCTAAGTTCCTTAAATTCAAATAGAAAGAAGTGACGTCAGATAGTTTGTTAAAATCTTTATTTTAAAGCTGAAACTTCTTAGTTTTCCATATTTGTTACTTGGAGCCTAAATTTACATGAAAATGTAAACTTCTCTGTGCTCTAAATGTTGGAGGAATATTTGCATTGATGTGTTTGTGTGTTGTTGTGTTTCTTCCTTTATCACTGAGATTTTGTTCTCACCACTTTGTCCATGTGTAAAGAAATGTATAATGACACTGACATGTGTTTGTGTGGCAGACCAGATGTTGTTGTTGTCTACATCTATGGACCATTGAGGTGTGTGGTATATAGGGGTTTGATCTCTTATAACACTGTGATCATCATGATCCTAATCAATAAGGAAATCCGTGGTTATTGACTTTTACACTGCTGAGATTTGGTTTGAAATGTAAATCAACTGATTGTGTGGATAAAGTTGCTAAACAAGATTCATGTAACAGACCTTACTGATGTAAAGTGTGAACAAACTGAAGGTTTCATAATAAATACAGTCTTTAACCTTCAGCCTCAAATCTCACATCCCCAAGTTCTTTTTACAACCTGAGAGCTGATGTGAATAATGTTTGTAACCTGGAAACTCTTCTCTCCCACCTTTCCCATGGGACCTGAATACAGCATCAGCGCTCCAGGCTGTGACTCCTGTGACCAAACGGACACAGTGTGATATTCCAGATGTTTCCGTCTCTCTGTACTGATGCTGTCTGAAGCTGCCAAAGGCTCAGTGAAGTGTTTCCATGAACCCGATGCCCAACACTAGAGGGCGCCATCATCCTGCTGCCGCTGAACAGGAATGTAGTGGAGATTATTTTTGAAATTCGTACTAACAGACTGATTTGAATGTGGTTTGTGTTTGTTTGTTGAGGATCTAACCTGCCCTCACTATAAGACCCGTAACATCATGTGTCTGACAGTTTTTAATAGTGTTCTGGTTTGTTCTCACCACTTTGCCCATGTGTAAAGAAATCTATGCGTACGTAAAAGTAGCAATATGACAATGAAATCACACTGGGTCCAAACACAGCACACACACATCTGTTATTTTCTGAGGGAAACAGAAAAGCAACATTCATGAGTCAAAAACAGTCTTATTCTGTTCACCCAGACAGATTCACTGGATGTTGGCAGGTCCTGAGGAGAGGCTGACTGGACGTTGTTACTGCGAGGTGAAGTGGACAGGGACAGAAGTTAGAGTAGCAGTCGCATACAAGGATATCAGATGAACAGGGTGGTCGAATGAAAGTGTATTTGGAAGCAATGACAAATCATGGGCATTATTCTGTGAACAAAACTGTTATTATTTTTGGTACAACAACATCCCAACTCCCTTCTCAGGTCCTCGGCCCTCCAGAATTGGAGTGTACCTGGATCACAGAGCAGGTATTCTGTCCTTCTACAGCATCTCCGAAACCATAACTCTCCTCCACAGAGTCCAGACCACATTCACTCAGCCTCTCTATTCTGGAATTCGGTTTTATGGTTATGGAGACTCAGCTGAGTTCAGTAAAGTCAAATAGACAGAAGTGACATCAGATACAGTTTGTTCAAATCTTTATTTTAAAGCTGAAACTTCTTAGTTTTCCATAGTTGTTGCTTGGAGCCTAAACTGACATTTGTCCACATGGCAATGTAAACTCCTGGGGATGGCTGTGGCTCACGAGGTAGGGCAGTCGTCTCCTGACCAGCAAGTTGGTGGTTCGACTCCTGGTCTCCCCGCATGCCTAAATGTCCCTGAGCAAGACACTGAACCCCGAATTGCTCCCGGTGGCTTGATTAGCGCCGTTGTGTGGCAGCTGTCGTCATCGGTGTGTGAATGGGTGAATGATGTATCATCTCTGTAAAGCGCTTTGGCCAGTGTAACACACTGTGGAAATGTGCTATATAAATACAGTCCATTTACCATTCCTCTGTGCTCTAAATGTTGGAGGAATATTTGCATTGAGGTGTTTGTGTGTTGTTGGCAGCACGGTGGTTAGTGCTGTTGCCTCACAGCAAGAAGGTTCCGGGTTCGGGGCCTTTCTGTGTGGAGTCTGCATGTTCCCCCTGTGCTTGCATGGGTTCTTTCCAGGTGCTCCAGCTTCCTCCCACAGTCCAAAGACATGCAGTTTAGGTTGACTGGTGACTCTAAATTACCCAAATTAGTGCATATATAAATCCTAATTTGGGTTGCGTCAGGAAGGGCGTCGGGTGTAAAACGCATGCCAAATGTATATATGCGAACAGTTGATTTGCTGTGGCAACCCCTAACGCAAACAGCCAAAAGTGGTGGTAGTAGTAGTAGTCCGTTTTAATACTGTATGTCTTGTTTTTTGTCTGGTACTTGTGAAGCTGCTGTCTTGGCCAGAGTCCCTTGTAAAAGAGGCTGCAAACTTCAATGGGAGTTTGAATTAGGTTAAATAAAAATATTTTCTTAGAAAATAACATTACAGAATAGCATTCATATTCTTGTTTTGCCTTTGAATATGAATCTGGACCAGGTCCTCTTCACAGTAGGGCCTTGGGCAGACCTTCATAGAAGAGCACAATATAATTCTACTATTTACTGCACCGTCCAGTTACCATTACTGAAGTAGAGTCACTTCAACAAATTGCTTGCTTTTAAGTTAAAGGCCAGTGGGAACAAAGGTTTACTAAATTCTTTCAAATAAGAAGATAAGCAGAATAAAACTCACTACAAAGAAGTCACATGATGACATCTTCTGAACCCCGTAAACAGCATATACATAAACTCTACATCTAAAAGGTGTCCAT